GAGGAAGTGGAGGAAATAGAGTATTTGCGAGGAAATGTTAGTTTGTAGAGCGCCCTGTCTCACAGCTGTTAGACAAGGAAGTAAAACAGACAGGACACACACACACACACACACACACACACACACACACACACACACACACACACACACACACACACTGGACTTAGCAGGCACTTCACTAGAGTCCATCTGCTGCTCATTAGTTTGCGAGGGTCACTCCAGCTTAAAAGACACTTCTACATTAACGAGCGTGACATCCTGTATCCTGCTTTTTATTTACTATTTAATCTCTCTTTGTACAAGTGGCAAACATAAATGACATTATGCAACATTCAGAGATGCAAACAGACCAACCCTAACCCCTGAACTACCAACAATTAGATGAAAGTGAATTGCAAAAATGATAAAGTAGTAAGTAGATTTACTCAAATGCTGCTTTAAATACAATTTTGAGGTGTTTTAAAAGAGTATTTCCTCAGCTTTGTACATTACAGAGGGATTGTCTTGTTCTTTTTATCCTTTTAGTGCATTATTTATATTTAAAGACGTCCTATTGTACTTATTTCAGGTGTATATCAGTATGTAGTGTCTCTCCTGGGACGTGTCTCCATGCTTTAATGTTCAAAAAGCTCTTTATTCTTCTCATACTGCCTGTGCTGCAGCACCTCTTTTCACCCTCTGTCTGAAACCAGAGCCCAGTCTGCTCTGATTGGTTAGCTGGCCGGCTCTGTTGTGATTGGTCGACCGCTTAGAGATGTCCCGCCCCTTAGCCTATCACTTACAATGTGTTGGAGCGCTAACCAATCGAAGCGTGAGTGTTACATAGTGATGTCACTATGTTATGGAGGTAAACAAAGAGGGGAAGTGGCATTTTAGCCTTTGCAGACCATTAACATGCACAAAAACCTATATACCTCACTACAGGAAATCCCCAAAAAGCATAATAGGACCCCTTTAATATTCCAAACTCTTCAGCAAGCGCTATATCAGTCAAAAATAATCTCAATCTGTTATTTTTTCCAATTCTTGAAAGCCTAACCGGAGCAGTTTTTCCTCCCTGCAGAGAATCACGCTGCATACAAACACATGTCCACACAGTTGAAAGGCCTGACTAGCTGCTACAGGGCTTTGATCATTTAGACCTGGACACACGCAGACTGTTGAAAGAGAGGGAGGCTGACAGGAGGGGGGGGGGTGGAAGAAATGTGATAGATGTGACAGATACTGAGACGGGGAAAACAAGAGGGTGAAGAAAGAGCCACGGTGGCACCGAGAGAGTAAAGACGGGGGGAGGGGAGGAGAAGGTAGGATCTGAGGAGGTTAAGTTTTATGGCGTCTAATGGAACATTTTAAGGTAAATACAGCAGAAGATATACAAAGTTTAAAGAAGGCAAAGGAACATGATGTACCCTCAGATTTACGACCCTTCTGCTGAGGGGATCGATTAAAAGCACACTGATTCCCCTCTCTTTCCACACCACTGACAGCTCAAATAATAACTGGATTTATAACCTCTGAGAGAGAATAACACGAAGGAATGATTACCATCATTTCAGAATTGTACCATGCAGGGTTCATTTTGTTAGCGAAAACTATGATAGGATATAGGACTCTTTAAAGTAGAGACACTACATACTGATATAAACCTGAACATCAGCAGGAGAGGACTCTTTAAAGTAGAGACACTACATACTGATATACACCTGAACATCAGCAGGAGAGGACTCTTTAAAGTAGAGACACTACATACTGATATACACCTGAACATCAGCAGGAGAGGACTCTTTAAAGTAGAGACACTACATACTGATATACACCTGAACATCAGCAGGAGAGGACTCTTTAAAGTAGAGACACTACATACTGATATACACCTGAACATCAGCAGGAGAGGACTCTTTAAAGTAGAGACACTACATACTGATATACACCTGAACATCAGCAGGAGAGGACTCTTTAAAGTAGAGACACTATATACTGATATACACCTGAACATCAGCAGGAGAGGACTCTTTAAAGTAGAGACACTACATACTGATATACACCTGAACATCAGCAGGAGAGGACTCTTTAAAGTAGAGACACTACATACTGATATACACCTGAACATCAGCAGGAGAGGACTCTTTAAAGTAGAGACACTACATACTGATATACACCTGAACATCAGCAGGAGAGGACTCTTTAAAGTAGAGACTCTACATACTGATATACACCTGAACATCAGCAGGAGAGGACTCTTTAAAGTAGAGACACTACATACTGATATACACCTGAACATCAGCAGGAGAGAACTCTTTAAAGTAGAGACACTACATACTGATATACACCTGAACATCAGCAGGAGAGGACTCTTTAAAGTAGAGACACTACATACTGATATACACCTGGACATCAGCAGGAGAGGACTCTTTAAAGTAGAGACACTACATACTGATATACACCTGAACATCAGCAGGAGAGGACTCTTTAAAGTAGAGACACTACATACTGATATACACCTGAACATCAGCAGGAGAGGACTCTTTAAAGTAGAGACACTACATACTGATATGAACCTGAACATCAGCAGGAGAGGACTCTTTAAAGTAGAGACACTACATACTGATATACACCTGAACATCAGCAGGAGAGGACTCTTTAAAGTAGAGACTCTACATACTGATATACACCTGAACATCAGCAGGAGAGAACTCTTTAAAGTAGAGACACTACATACTGATATACACCTGAACATCAGCAGGAGAGGACTCTTTAAAGTAGAGACACTACATACTGATATACACCTGGACATCAGCAGGAGAGGACTCTTTAAAGTAGAGACACTACATACTGATATACACCTGAACATCAGCAGGAGAGGACTCTTTAAAGTAGAGACACTACATACTGATATACACCTGAACATCAGCAGGAGAGGACTCTTTAAAGAAGATACACTACATACTGATATACACCTGAACATCAGCAGGAGAGGACTCTTTAAAGTAGAGACACTACATACTGATATACACCTGAACATCAGCAGGAGAGGACTCTTTAAAGTAGAGACACTACATACTGATATAAACCTGAACATCAGCAGGAGAGAACTCTTTAAGTAGAGACACTACATACTGATATACACCTGAACATCAGCAGGAGAGGACTCTTTAAAGTAGAGACACTACATACTGATATACACCTGAACATCAGCAGGAGAGGACTCTTTAAAGTAGAGACACTACATACTGATATACACCTGAACATCAGCAGGAGAGGACTCTTTAAAGTAGAGACTCTACATACTGATATACACCTGAACATCAGCAGGAGAGGACTCTTTAAAGTAGAGACACTACATACTGATATACACCTGAACATCAGCAGGAGAGAACTCTTTAAAGTAGAGACACTACATACTGATATACACCTGAACATCAGCAGGAGAGGACTCTTTAAAGTAGAGACACTACATACTGATATACACCTGGACATCAGCAGGAGAGGACTCTTTAAAGTAGAGACACTACATACTGATATACACCTGAACATCAGCAGGAGAGGACTCTTTAAAGTAGAGACACTACACACTGATATACACCTGAACATCAGCAGGAGAGGACTCTTTAAAGTAGAGACACTACATACTGATATACACCTGAACATCAGCAGGAGAGGACTCTTTAAAGTAGAGACACTACATACTGATATACACCTGAACATCAGCAGGAGAGGACTCTTTAAAGTAGAGACACTACATACTGATATGAACCTGAACATCAGCAGGAGAGGACTCTTTAAAGTAGAGACACTACATACTGATATACACCTGAACATCAGCAGGAGAGGACTCTTTAAAGTAGAGACTCTACATACTGATATACACCTGAACATCAGCAGGAGAGGACTCTTTAAAGTAGAGACACTACATACTGATATACACCTGAACATCAGCAGGAGAGGACTCTTTAAAGTAGAGACACTACATACTGATATACACCTGAACATCAGCAGGAGAGGACTCTTTAAAGTAGAGACACTACATACTGATATACACCTGAACATCAGCAGGAGAGGACTCTTTAAAGTAGAGACACTACATACTGATATACACCTGAACATCAGCAGGAGAGGACTCTTTAAAGTAGAGACACTACATACTGATATACACCTGAACATCAGCAGGAGAGGACTCTTTAAAGTAGAGACACTACATACTGATATACACCTGAACATCAGCAGGAGAGGACTCTTTAAAGTAGAGACACGACATACTGATATACACCTGAACATCAGCAGGAGAGGACTCTTTAAAGACAAGAGGAGAGAAGTTATACTTTGATTTAATTTACATTAGATAAAGAAACGTAATTTTGCAGCTCAAAGTAGAGATTATACAAGATGTAAAAGGGAGAGTGGCATGGATTGTTCACATTCCTGGTTAATTAGCACAGAGTCATGAATTGGAAAAACACACAAGTTGACCAGAACAATAAAAAACAACATATTTTTCCACTTCAATTTTATTATAGAAGTGCATCCATCCCACTTTGGCCGTGGTGCCTGCCGTGTGTCTGAGTGATTCACACCATCACACCTTCACTTTGTTTTCCTCCTCTGGGGTTTTAACCACTGTGGAAACAACGATTTTGTTTGGTTCATTTGGGCTCAGATTGCTCAATTACATAAATAGTACATCATTTATCGGGTGATGTTTTGCATTTTCTATTGCCAGTTTAGAGAATCTGTTGAGTAAAAACTGAACACAAATTGGGGTTGCAACATTTGTGCAGATCTCTCTACTTGGTTCAAATTACATTTTCACATTTTCACTTCCAACAAACTACCTCACAGTTTCAGTGACGTGATACAAAGTGAACCCGAGTTCAAACTACATCACTCTAGTCAAACAAACCTGAGGAGGAAGTGCCTCAGTCTAAATAAACGTCTGCGAACGTGCTTGTTGTTGCATCCCAACGTGGAGAAACACTTCTGACTTTGCATGTGTTTTCTTTCAGGGTGATTTATCTGCAAGTGAGCATGAACGACGGGCTGTCCTTCATCAGCAGCAACGTGCACATCACCACCACAGAGTGTGTAAGTGGAAGCTTTTCGTACCCCCTCTTATGTATTCAACGTACATTAGTAACATAGATTTACTATGCTTCAACGTGTGGTTAAGTAGAATTGCACAAGTGTAAATCAAAACTCAAAAACATCGGATATCTAAAACAGATGAAGGTTATTTTTCTCAACACTTTCCATTGGAGATGCATTTAAAGGGGACCTATCATGCAAAATGCACTTTTGTACGTCTTGTATACATGAATATGTGTCCCCGGTGTTCCAGGGAACTCACCAAGTGTCAGAAAACACAACCCTCTCTATTTTCCTCCATACCCAAATCTCTAAAAAAGGGGCTGCAACGGATCTGATAAAAACTGATCCAGATTTGAACACTGTCCTGACGTCAGGACGGTGGCGCTACGGCTATTGGGCCAACTCCACCAATCAGGAGGAGACAGCCACGGCCATTGCCGTTCGAAAGCGCTGGAGACGCTGTAGTACATATGCCAGGCCTGTAGATGGTGCTGTTCTCACTGAATCTGCCCTTGCTAAAACAGAGCTAGACATTGTCAAATTGAGCAAAATGAGGCATGGCTAAAATGCATGATCTGTTTGGTATTTTGCAAAAAAAAAAGTATAAATATGCCTTATATAGGTATGGTCCTACACTATATTATTCAAATATAGCATGATAGGTCCACTTTAAGTTCAATAATGCGTGAAAAATAATTATGAAAAAGGAACCTGAGTAAAGTATAGTGTACTGTAATAATACATTTTTCTGACAAATGTTTTTATTTGCCTTTCATTTGTCCAGCAAAAGACAAACACATGAAAACCTGCAGCGTTTTTATTTGCGCTGTTTGTTTATGCATTGCTTTTATTAAACTCTGCACATGTTTCGTCAAGTTGGTGAAGATGTTTCTTCATTCGCTTGGTTTTGGCACATTTGTGTTTTAATATTTGCATCGTTTCTGAAACTGCAGCTCGTTTCTCCTAATAAAAACATTTTAGGCCCCCGGGTAATCAACCTTTTCCACATCATTTACTTGCTTAGTTAGAGATACTCTTATGCAGGGGGGTCAAACTCAAATACACAGTGGGCCAAAATTAAAAAATGGGTACTAGTCGAGGGCCGGACTGGTTCAATGTTTATAGCAACACTTATTGAAATGAACTTATTGCACATATTAAACCTGGAACTAACAAAGCTTAAATTATTGCCTATAAAAACAACATTAAACATTAAATAATCAGTTGCATTCATTTCTTATGGCTCCATCTGCAGCTTTTCCAGAGTCATTTCTTATGATTACATTTTTCCACAGGCCAACAACAGCTTCAAAAAAACGATTTCCCTCAAAGAGAAACCCAAACATGCCCTGTTGTCTCAAGAAAGAAAGTGCAGAAGGAAACATCCATGTAAACTCAGTGTGCTGCTCTGTGATGCTAGTTCAAGCCAGATACTTGGCATCTCATCTTGGGTGCAAGTTCATCAATGTTTGGGGTCAGCCTCTGAGCTGAGGAGACCCTCAGGATGGAGTGAAGGTGTGCGTGCAATATACCGGCGGGCCAGATCTAATAGTAATTAGAAATTATCCTGCGGGCCGAAATTAAATCCACCACGGGCCTGATTTGGCCCCCGGGCCTTGAGTTTGACACATGTGCTCTTATGTATATGTCGGTGTGAAGCAGTGTGGAGCATCCCTTCCTCAAAACCAAGATATCTTCATGTGGAAGCTACTGCTGCAGGTCTCCCTTGAAAAAGAGATCAATGATCTCAATGGGATTTCACCTGGATAAATAAAGGTTTTGAATTTAATTGAATTGAATTGAAGATTAAATCGGCTGTCATTTAAGACAATTTTAATAAATCTACCAACATAAAACACATATGTTGGAACATATGGAGAGCAGATTGACACCCAGCAGAAAAAAATAAACTCTTTGTAGATGTTCTCTCTCTGTCCATGTGACATAACTGGCCATTAAACACTGTGTTGTGGTTCATGATATACAGAGCTCAATCAGACATACCATTGCAATTTGCTGCCACTAAACCAAACCATATAGGCCTTAGGGAGGCATGACAGTAAATGATGGGTATGCCTGCTGCAAACCCTCCCAAAGTGCCATTTAAAGCAGATTTATCCTTTGTAGTTAACCCACAGAATGTGCACATATAGCATTAGAAAAACATGCGTTGTATGTGCAGCAGTGACGGGACGCAGATGTGGTCACTGTGAGCGGTTTGCTGAACCGTTACTCCATAAATTCAGTCTAAAAGATTCCGAAAACTTGCTGATTGGGACATTTCTGAGAATGAAAAGTAGTGACTCTTCACCACGGACCCTGAATCTCCCCCCTCTCTCTGTGTCTTTGCCCACAAGACAGATAGGGGAGAGTGTAACCACATGTGATCAGTGGGATGTAATGGGAACCATGTTGGGCTCACGGGCGCTCGCCTGGTTTAAAGAGAGCATTCATTCAGGAGGATCACACAGTTTACACAAATACTGTCATCGAGAAAAACTCAAATATGAGTGTTTATCGGCTGAAGTGACAAAGAACGTATTGCTAGATCTAGATCAACTACATCCTGTTTCTAATACTACTGCTACTATTTTGATTTCTAATGCTACTTCTGTTTCTGCTACTTTTGAGGTTATTGTTTTTCTCCTTTTTTTGTTCAAACCAGAGATGCATTAATTTAGAATTCTAGGCCAATTCAGATATTCAATTTTGTAAATGCCTCAGATTTTTATTTTTTCCCATGATCTATAATTGACAGCAAACCATTTGTATAACTTTTATTTTGTTCACAATTGAAATGTAATCAAAGACTAGGACCAGGACCTATAGAGTGCCACAGTGACGCGTCCTAAAACCCGGAAGTAAGCTGCGCATGGGTTCCTTCGACAATGATGATGATTTTACGTCACATACACAGTAGTAGGGCTGCATGATTTTGAAAATTAAACGAATTGCGATTATTTTGACTGATATATTTACCCATGCGCAGTTTACTTCCTGGTTTTAGGACGTGTGTGTTCTGATGTTGTGTGTTAGTGTATGTTAGTGTGTGTTCTGATGTTGTGTGTGTTAGTGTGTGTTAGTGTGTGTTAGTGTGTGTTCGTGTGTGTTCTGATGTTGTGTGTGTTAGTGTGTGTTCGTGTGTGTTCTGATGTTGTGTGTTAGTGTGTGTTCGTGTGTGTTCTGATGTTGTGTGTGTTAGTGTGTGTTAGTGTGTGTTCTGATGTTGTGTGTGTGTTAGTGTGTGTTCTGATGTTGTGTGTGTGTTAGTGTGTGTTTGTGTGTGTTCTGATGTTGTATGTGTTAGTGTGTGTTAGTGTGTGTTCTGATGTTGTGTGTTAGTGTGTGTTCTGATGTTCTGATGTTGTGTGTGTTAGTGTGTGTTCTGATGTTGTGTGTGTTCACAGTTTGACGGCACCATCCTCCTGGTCACGCTGCTGGTTCTCTTCCTGCTGCTCGCCCTGCTCTTCATGTGGTGGTTCTGGCCTCTGTGCTGCACCGTGGTGAGTAACGTAAACTACATCCAGGAAGTGGTGCAATTTAAAAAGCAAAACACTTAAATTATCCCGAGCTTCAAAGGGGTTTGTCTAAACTCAAAAGCACTTCAGGGGGCCTTTTAAAGAAATCATTAAAAAAACCTGAAAGAGGTCCTCTGAGATGAGATTAACGTGTCTGTGAGAAGCTAAGCAATCTCTTATTGTTCCTCAGGTGATCAAAGGACCTCCTCCTCCACCTCCTCCTGAGCCTGTGAGTCAACACACACACACACACACACACACACACACACACACACACACACACACACACACTGAAACTGAAAAACCCACCTGTTTTGCCCGTACACTGGCCGTTAAATAAAAAATGTAAATTGTGAGAAACGGTATTTCGATCTCTCTGTCTGTACACATTAATTAAGTTGACTTTGACTAAATGTAATAATTTGTGTTTCAGGAGAGTTCAGATGATGAAGACGGCATGCCCAAGAAGAAATGGCCGACTGTGGACGCCTCTTATTACGGAGGGAGAGGAATCGGAGGGATCAAGAGGATGGAGGTGACAAGATGACAAATAAAATGGATATTAAAACCCTTTAGGTACCTCTCACTGCTTCGATTTTTGAATTATATTAACGTAATGTCCTCTGCCTGCAGGTGCGTTGGGGAGGGAAGGGCTCCACCGAGGAGGGGGCTAAGCTGGAGAAGCCGAAGAACGCCGTGGTGAAGATGCCGGAGCAAGAGTACGAGCCGTACGAACCCAAACCGAAGAAACCTCACAACAAGAAGGCGCCTCAGGACAGGAAGTGGTACTCACCCATCCGGGTAAACACACTATTTAAACAATATCTTTATTGAGTTTTGACATATATGGAAACAAGGAGTAGATGAGACAATGTGACTCACACTCACACACGGAGAACTTGTCTCTCAAACCTATAATATAGTATCAAAAAGCAAGAGTAAAAACACACAGTAATGTCAATAAATTGAATACAAATGTTGATTGATTTTAGTCCGTGAACTGGAGGCTCTCTAGGCTCTCAAAAATGGGAAGGGGATTAATTGGGTTAGTTTGTATATAATTACCAGTAGTACACACACACATCAAATCTAACAAGGAGTATGAAACAGGGAGTCAGTGATTCATGTATAAGATGAAGAAAATGTCACTTACTTCACATACTGTACTTGACTAAGGAACAAGGCTGTGGCTCAGTGGAAGTGTGCTGGACTTTGAATCAGGGGGTTCGAGTCCCACTGCAGTCAGCATGTCGTTGTGTCCCTGAGACACTTCACCCCAAATTGCTCCTGTGGGGATTGTCCACAGTATTGAGTATGTAAGTCGCTTTGGATAAAAGCGTCTAACAAATGGCATGTAAACAACAACAGAAAAAGGAAATATTAATTAATTAATCATTTTCCAACCATTTTTAAAGTCCCTATGTACTTTGGCATTCAAGGAATTTAAGTAAGATGTTTCACACTTTTACAAATTCTCCTTTTTCTTCCTTTCCTTATGTAAGTGAGTCTTTCCAGTAATATACAAGATGCTATTTCTTTAAAACAGTTTTGAACTATCTGGATATCTTGCATGGCACTTCTGTTCCTCCAACAATGTGAGAAAAAGTCTCCTCAATATTCAGATTTATTTATGCAGAGAAGCTACATCTCAGTGAATCCTGTAACAAAATGTCAGCTTTCAGGAATGTAAGAATCTGCCGTGTTTCCAGTTTAACCACTGTGCATTTTTTTAAGCTTTTCCCCACTGAGTTACAAATAACTGTGGGGCGGCAAAGTATTCTCAACCCACAGCAAACCCCTTCAACTGAAGTCAAAACATGAAAAGCACCACCAGAGTTTCCACAAGACAGCAGGGAGGGATGAAGCCTGTTCTGGACATATTTCTGCAGCATTAGTTGCATAAGCACAAACTTTCTGCAGTTATCAATGTGCACACAGAGCCAGAGTAATATAACATGTCCTGCAGACAGAGAGGCTTTATTAGAGCTGGCGTCAGTAATCACTAACTACAATAGAGCTCTGTATGGAAACACTGGCCCTTCATACAGTAGCCAGAGGTGGGAAGTAGTGGAGTACAAATACTTTGTTACTGTACTTAAATACATTTTTCTGGTATCAGTACTTTACTCCACTACTTATTTTTCTGACGACTTTTTACTTTCCCTTCTTACATGTTGAACCCAAATACCTGAACTTTCTACTTCTTACATGTTGAACACAGATACCTGAACTTTCTACTTCTTACATGTTGAACCCAAATACCTGTACTTTCTACTTCTTACATGTTGAACACAAATACCTGTACTTTCTACTTCTTACATTTTGAACCCAAATACCTGTACTTTCTACTTCTTACATTTTGAACACAAATACCTGTACTTTCTACTTCTTACATGTTGAACACAAATACCTGTACTTTCTACTTCTTACATTTTGAACCCAAATACCTGTACTTTCTACTTCTTACATTTTGAACACAAATACCTGTACTTTCTACTTCTTACATGTTGAACACAAATACCTGTACTTTCTACTTCTTACATTTTGAACACAAATACCTGTACTTTCTACTTCTTACATGTTGAACACAAATACCTGTACTTTCTACTTCTTACATGTTGAACACAAATACCTGTACTTTCTACTTCTTACATTTTGAACACAAATACCTGTACTTTCTACTTCTTACATGTTGAACACAAATACCTGTACTTTCTACTTCTTACATTTTGAACACAAATACCTGTACTTTCTACTTCTTACATGTTGAACACAAATACCTGTACTTTCTACTTCTTACATTTGAACACAAATACCTGTACTTTCTACTTCTTACATGTTGAACACAAATACCTGTACTTTCTACTTCTTACATTTTGAACACAAATACCTGTACTTTCTACTTCTTACATTTTGAACCCAAATACCTGTACTTTCTACTTCTTACATTTTGAACACAAATACCTGTACTTTCTACTTCTTACATTTTGAACACAAATACCTGTACTTTCTACTTCTTACATGTTGAACACAAATACCTGTACTTTCTACTTCTTACATGTTGAACACAAATACCTGTACTTTCTACTTCTTACATGTTGAACACAAATAACTGTACTTTCTACTTCTTACATTTTGAACACAAATACCTGTACTTTCTACTTCTTACATGTTGAACACAAATACCTGTACTTTCTACTTCTTACATGTTGAACACAAATACCTGTACTTTCTACTTCTTACATGTTGAACACAAATACCTGTACTTTCTACTTCTTACATTTTGAACCCAAATACCTGTACTTTCTACTTCTTACATTTTGAACACAAATACCTGTACTTTCTACTTCTTACATTTTGAACACAAATACCTGTACTTTCTACTTCTTACATGTTGAACACAAATACCTGTACTTTCTACTTCTTACATGTTGAACACAAATACCTGTACTTTCTACTTCTTACATGTTGAACACAAATACCTGTACTTTCTACTTCTTACATTTTGAACACAAATACCTGTACTTTCTACTTCTTACATGTTGAACCCAAATACCTGTACTTTCTACTTCTTACATTTTGAACACAAATACCTGTACTTTCTACTTCTTACATGTTGAACATAAATACCTGTACTTTCTACTTCTTACATGTTGAACACAAATACCTGTACTTTCTACTTCTTACATGTTGAACACTAATACCTGTACTTTCTACTTCTTACATTTTGAACACAAATACCTGTACTTTCTACTTCTTACATGTTGAACACAAATACCTGTACTTTCTACTTCTTACATTTTGAACACAAATACCTGTACTTTCTACTTCTTACATTTTGAACCCAAATACCTGTACTTTCTACTTCTTACATGTTGAACCCAAATACCTGTACTTTCTACTTCTTACATTTTGAACACAAATACCTGTACTTTCTACTTCTTACATGTTGAACACAAATACCTGTACTTTCTACTTCTTACATGTTGAACACAAATACCTGTACTTTCTACTTCTTACATGTTGAACCCAAATACCTGTACTTTCTACTTCTTACATGTTGAACACAAATACCTGTACTTTCTACTTCTTACATTTTGAACACAAATACCTGTACTTTCTACTTCTTACATGTTGAACACAAATACCTGTACTTTCTACTTCTTACATTTCCCAAACAGGCTGGTTCCTTTAGTTTGAATGTGTGTTTGGTGGCGTGATCATTATTATTTAGAGTCATTGCGTGCCTCTTGATTTGAACACGATCCGTGTATCCATCATTTCCTGGTCTTCTCTAAAGAAGAGGGACCAATGAAAACGTTGTCATGTTGCCGTTGTTCAGCATGGAAACATTCATTAGCTAACAATGACATTATTGTTCTATTAATATAAAGGGAGGTCAGGTACTCTTTAAAACAGCTGCTAGTTATGGGTACTTTTTACTGAAGTACATTTCAAAGCCTCTTTCCTTTTACTTGAGTAAAGAAGTTTAGTCAGTACTTCTACTTTCACCAGAGTATTTTTAAACACGAGTATCTGTACTTCTACTTGAGTAAAGGATGTGTGTACTTTTGCCATCTCTGACAGTAGCTTAGCACGCCGCTACCTTACAGCTGTATTCAAAATATGACACAGGCAGGACTACAGAAAAGCCCTAAAGTGATTAATAGTTTACTCTGCTAATACATCCCAGTCAGTGTAGGGAAAGGAGAATTCACACACTGACGAGTGACTGAAGATCCTTTAATGGGTTGTGGTTGGTTTAAGATATTGACTTCCTTCCTCTCAAGAAGTGGCCGTTGAGGCTCAGGAGTCAGATCGTTGGGGTCTAATTTAATACATAGAAGACATCTTATGTAAGAAAGGAGAATTTGTCACAATCCACTCTACTGGCTCAATAGAGAAAACAACTCCAAAAGGAAAAGGGGGATACATATTTGGAGAAATGGGATTCTGATAACCTTCTAGGATCTTAACAATATCTCACTTTTTGTCTGACCTCAAATAAATAACACAAATAAACTAGCAGGTCAAAGCCACAGTATACCAGTTACTCCAAGGTAACATTACTGTCAGTCCCCCGTCAAAAATGGCTGATTGACTGCATGGTAAAGTGGTAAAGATATTCCAAATATAGGGTGCAATAAAAGCGATTTTGTCTAAAAACAAATGTAGCTGCCTCTTCCATCCACAGCAGTACCTTTAGTGTCGGTACCTCTCTCTGTTTCGTTCTTGTGTAGTTAATACACTGGCTATGGATAAGAGCCTCACATTACCCCACTTCAAACAATTCAAACTCTCCGTGTCAGCAGACATGAACCAAAACATTGTGCAGTGACTCATCAGCTGAGCTCCAACCAGAGAGGAAGCAGCCAATCAGAGGAATCAGCAGCTGTAGTGTTTGTTTGGGATTAAAAACCTGCTCTCTGGCTTTAAAGCAGCCACAGACCGACTGTCTGCTGATCCAGGAGGAACAGTATTAATAGACATTGATTGAATAATGGATGGGGGTGTTTGTGTCCAGATGTTTAACCTCTCCTCCCTCTTCTTCAGGGGAAACTGGATGCTATCTTGTCGCTGTTTCGCCGCGGATATGACCAGGTGTCCTTGATGAGACCTCAGCCCGGGGACCATGTGAGTAGTTCACCTTTAACACTTTGCATTAGGATCCCCTAACCCTAACCCTTATGTAATTACCAATCACCTTCTGCTTCAAGTTAGTCCTTTTTGCAGTGATTGATACCTGTAATGACCCGTAGCTGCATCTCATCCTTTAAAGGTGGGGTAGTATTTTAACTATTCATCTGTAATTTCATTTCATTATTTTTCCTTTTTGAGATTGTGTAAATATTAGGGCTGTCAGTCGATTAAAATAGTTAATCGCGATTAATCGCAAATTAATCGCACATTTTTTATCTGTTCTAAATGTACCTTAGAGGGATATCTTTCAAGTTTTTAATACTCTTATCAACATATGAGTGGACAAATATGCTTTATATGTTTGTTTATTATCATTTGAACAATGACAAATATTCTCATGAATATTAAACACAACAACCTGAACATTGTGTGTGTGTGTGTGTGTGTGTGTGTGTGTGTGTGTGTGTGTGTGTGTGTGTGTGTGTGTGTGTGTGTGTGTGTGTGTGTGTGTGTGTGTGTGTGTGTGTGTGTGTGTGTGTGTGTGTGTGTGTGTGTGTGTGTGTGTGTGTGTGTGTGTGTGTGTGTGTGTGTGGAGACACTGTGATGGATCGTTGAGCTATGTGCAGCTCAAGGCATATATGCTCGAATGGGAGCTGCCTGGACGCTGCAATAATGTTGCGCTGACTTTTCGTACAATGTCCCACTGTCTGGCTACCTGCATAAAGTCAAGTGCTCGGCGCAGTTGTCGGCGAAATGTCATTGAAACAGCTCCTTATATCCGTTAGCGCAGCTAGCTAGCACCAGATGCTAACAACAACACGTAGGTGTGCCTCGCTCGCGCGAGTCGCGCCACACACACACTCCCTCCCGGTCCTCCCGATGGCCAGTCCGGGCCTCCCGGTGAGCGTGGAAGTGTGGTCTGCCACAAGCGGGCGGCAGGAGCGGGGCTGTCAGCATCAGCTTGTAGATGGTATTTTACACTCGATGCGCTCTGAAACTACGGCGGCCGAGGACAAAAAATACACATGCGTTAATCGCGTTAAAATAATTAGTGGCGTTAATTTTTTTTTTTGCGTTAACGCGTTATTAACGCGTTAACTTGACAGCCCTAGTAAATATATATATATATCCTTTATTTAACCAAGTAAAAGTCCCATTGAGATTAAAATGTCTTTTTCAAGAGTGACCTGGCCAAGAGGGCAGCTTGAACAAAGTTACAACAAATGAACACAAAAAAATACAGGCAGACGAATACAGCGGTCGTAAAACACATTGTGTTAAATTGCTGGTAAACTTGAATCAACTACAATTACTGCCTCATGTTTGTAAGCCTCTGCCAACCAGTCGGTAAAGTCTGTCCAAAATGTCATCATTTGATCATTTCTGTCATAAAAAGCATAGCCAAAAACGTATTTTGATCGGCCCCAAAATTAGCGATCGGAGCATCCCTACTTTTAAGTGGTCTGTAACCTCGTAAAATAATGTTGTATGAATTCTCCTTGGCTTTGAAAGTAACTCTGGTGATTTCACTATTGTAGTTGGTAATGAAACTACATCCTCGGATGAAAGTATCTATCTCAGAAGGAGAAAAAAGTCTAAAAAACAACTTTATGTTTCAAACCCGCTGAGTTTTGAAGGTCTTTTGTCTGAAAGTCTTCACTCATCTGTATGCATTACTCATCCCTCTCTCCCTCCCTCTCTCTCTCTCTCCCCCCTGGAGTTCCTCTGCTGGCTCACACCTCCTCTGGCTCTCCTCCACCACTTTAACCCAGCCTCGCTCACACCTGCTTCACATTAAGCGCCATAAAATCTGATAAAAAGCAGAACCGCAGCTCGCAGCCGGACACATCCTCGCTGCTCGATAGGTGGCTTTTCTGATGTGTTCGTGTGTGAGAGAGATAGTAAAAAAACCTCTTCTTATATCAGCCACATGGTTTCAGTTTTAATATCTGGAGTTTTTGTTTTAATAAAGCTCCAGATAAGAAGATGGGGAGATCACCGAGTACAGAAAGCTCTCTAGGGATGTTTTCAATCCCTCTGACACATTCAGGAAAAGTCTGTTTTAATGTTTAACACCTTCGGGTGATATTTTATTGTTTCTCATTCCACTAATCCTGATTGGCACTTTTGTAACTCAGCGATACATAATAAAACCAAAAAGGTCACCTAGTTGAAATCACATTTCCCACAGTCTACCTCTTACCCCAAAACAAAGAACCGTTGAAGGGGGGTGAAGATGACCAAAACAAGGATTAATCCACTTTGTATTGTGCCTAGCTTTAGTGGATCATAATGTATTTGTTATATTATTAATCTGCATATTCTACCGCTCAAAATGAGACCAAACGTATCTATGGATGTAGGCTGTTATGCTACGTAAAAGGCTGAAATGTGGCCTGCACTAGACTAGGTAACGCTAGTTTTTTAGCCTAGTTGTTCGCAGTGAAATACGGTAAATATAAAACAGTAAATAAAAAGTTTAGAAAGCATTAAAAGCATTGTGAATCCCTACAACCACAAGAAGTCATTGAGCATACAGTCATAAATGTGCACAACATATTTAAGGCGGAAGTTAGCGAGATTAGCTTCGGACAAACACAAAGAAACACACGACCAAACACTAATTTGCTCATAATGAGGAAGATGACTTACTGTAAGCTGATTGTTTTTATAAACACTAACAGTTTGTTTGATAGTCAAATGTTGCAGTAGCATTTTGACGCTAAAATAGGACAATGGTAAACATAGTAGCCGTCATTATAGTCACGAAATTAATCTATTGATTCGTGTTCACCAACACGATTTCGCCATTTTTTTCGTGTCACACAGAACGATTTTATAAGCAATGTATTTATATTGGTAGCATGTTTCGTGCCTGCACCAAATAATAACAAATTAGAAGGAAAAAAAGATGACATAAAATACAGATGTCAGTATTCTGAGGCTCTGAGCCATTTCTTTTCCTCACTGACGGCAAAAGAACTCAGACATTATACAATTTAAAATAAAAGGGATAGGGTTAGGCTTAGGGTAAGATATTGAGTAAGAACATGTTTTTATGAACCACACAGCTTCTGGTCTTCCAAGACCCGACCGGACAAAAAGACGTGGTGCAGGCACGAAACACACTACCAATAGAAATACATTGCTTTTAAAATCGTTCTGTGTGACACGAAAAAAATGTGAAAATCGTGTTGGTGAACACGAATCAATAGATTAAATTAATTTCGTGACTATAACACGAAATGCCGTGAGACTGGGTTGGCTGGTGAGGGCTCGTCCAAAGCGCTAGTTAAAATCGTGCCTTATTAGCCGGAGATTTCCAATGACCGTCTTTAACGGGAATTCCACATTTAAGAGTGTTTTCTTGGCACCGGAGACAGGATTTGCTTTAGCCTGGGACAAATCAGACAGTTACCATTACATCTTCCCCAAAGCAAACTGGCAGTCTGATAAAAAAAGATCAGGGATTTGATTTCCTTAGTCAACACATTTCTGTTACCCAGTTAAGCTTTTAGCGCTCGATGCGTTCTGCATGACGCAATGATTTCTTTCTAATCGAGCCTCTCTTTTCCACCGTCTCCTCCTCGAGTCTTTCTGTGGTTTGTAACGATCCAGCAGGCCGGCTCATTTCCACTTTAGTGTAATGTTTTATTTCAGGAATAAAGAGTGGAAACAAGCGTCGGTCACCTCTTTCATTTAGGAGTTTTACTGTACCTGAAAAAACTATTTTCGGTTACATTCCCTGCAACATTCAGGCTTACATGAGTTCAGTCTGGACTCTTCATTGGTTTGGACCAATCTGGATCTGGATTTCTTCATTTGTCATGGCCTTTGCTTCATTACTGTACAGTGTAGCCATGAGACAGCAGAAAGAAAGTTGTACTAAGTTATTACTGATGAATATAATGTACTAAAACAAAAATATCCTCTTGTTTGTGTACTTTTTGTGAGTAGTAGGGTTAGGTATGTTCACATTTACTTGATTAGGGTCCGGCAAACTGTGTATATATATGGTCAAAACCATCTTTAAAATGTCTATTGATTATTTTTTTCTATATTTTCTCTATGACAGTATTGGCTAGTCCTATATCTATTCATTTGTTCTCTATAAATTCACTTGTTCTTAAAATGAGGAAATACTTAATCAAGTATTTAATTCTCATTGGAGTTTACAAAAAATTCACATCGGAAATGTATTTATTAAGAAATAGTTAGTATAGTTTAGAAAACATGCTATATCAAAAATACATCGAATCACAACGTATCTTTTTTTTGGTACTTAACTCTCTCTGTTATGACAAAATATGTATTACAGCTGTGAGAAAATTGGTCCAAAATGTTCAATTTCAACATTGACATTATTTACACGCCCACACTCACAAAGAAAACCCTCCCTACCTCCGTTTCTTCTCCAATACCGATCCCCTCTTTGTCTCAGAGTTACTCAGAGGAAGCAAAGCCTGTTTTCTGGCCAGCTTTTCATTTGGCTTTGCAATTACTGCAGCGAGTATCGTCTGCGTCAAGTTCTGTGTGAAGTGTAACCAAACTTTACCCTGGATCACTTTGAAAAGCTGCAGGGATGACGTCGTCTCGCACACATGTGGCTCATTCTCCCCCACCGAGATACCAGAATCTGGCACGGACTGATTTATCGTGACTCTGCACTCTGTAATACTGAGTCAAAACTATTAAAATGACAGAGTTTGGTAGCCAACACACACACAAACACACATATTTCTTTAGCCAGCAATGAACTCAACAACCCCTCGTATTGTTTGCTCAGTACAGCCTCTGTACTGTATGATATAGATCACAGTGGTTTTGTGTGTGAGGGTTAGAGTGTATCATTATAAAGCCCATGGTTTGTCGTGTGTGTGTGTGTGTGTGTGTGTGTGTGTGTGTGTGTGTGTGTGTGTGTGTGTGTGTGTGTGTGTGTGTGTGTGTGTGTGTGTGTGTGTGTGTGTGTGTGTGTGTGTGTGTGTGTGTGTGTGTGTGTGTGTGTGTGTGTGTGTGTGTGTGTGTGTGCGTGCGTGCGTGCGTGCGTGCGTGCGTGCGTGCGTGCGTGCGTGCGTGCGTGCGTGCGTGCGTGCGTGCGTGCGTGCGTGCGTGCGTGCGTGCGTGCGTGCGTGCGTGCGTGTGTGTGTCATCAGAACCACATCCATTACACTGACGTCAGAGTACAGTATGAGGTAGAGCTAGTCTTTTTCTCTCTCTCACACACACACACACACACACACACACATCCCATACTGTAAGCACATTGCTCCTTAGGGAAGCATTTAGCTGGCTAAAGGACATGAGGTAATACCTAAAGCAGACCACTGCCAGGGCTGTCTCCACCAACGCTGTCTCTCTCTCACACACACACACACACACACACACACACACACGCACACACACACACGCTTTGCCCAGGCCTAGACAATTTTATGACCTTGGTAAGACTGTAGACAGTGGAGGAGGTCAGTGTTAGAAAACGAGTGAGTGTGGTTTATTTTAATCCAGGAAAATGTTCGTGGGTTTAAACCGCAGCTGGGCGCTAACAGAGCGATGTACATGAAGCAAGACTCAAGTTCTTTTTCTAAAATCCTCTCGAGTAACTTGCTTGCATAATCACAATCAGGATCAGAAATAGTTGATTTATTGTTATATTCATGTAAACATCAAGACGTTAAAGTATAAATGTGCATACTTATTTAAATAAATACTAAGATAAAATAGTTGACAACCAGATAATCGCTTGAAATGTAAAGTTTAATAACGGTATTATTCCTACAGTGATATCGTACAGTGAATAATTGCCCAGGTTATATAGCTTGAGTATAGTTGATTGGAAAACCAAAAGGGTAAGCATCAAACCACTGGGTTAATATGTAGCCACAACAAGCAACCAGTTAGCCTAGCGTTAGTCAGACCCAGACTGAACTAAAAAACTCATAATTCCTTAATTTCATGAGTGCATGTTGCTCAGAGAAATGTAGTCTCTGCACATCTTTCCCTCGGTAAAAAGGCAAGAACAGAATCTCATCTTTTTGTTTTTTTGTCGAGGTCTAGGAATGTCAGACTGGATAAGTGGCGACAGACCAGAAACTGGTGGTCGTCGCTAAATTCGGGCATTTTTTGCTAGCTTTTGCAACCTTTTGTTTGAGTTCACAGAACATGATTTACAAGTCGGTGTAAATACAATAACTTTCCTAAGTGGTCGTTTGGGGAAAAAGTTGCCTTTATGTGACTGTAGGTATGTGTTAGAGAGGAGTGTATCGTACATGTAGAGATGATTGGTTAAATGGAAGAGGACTAAAGTGGATGGTTGAAGTAGCATACGTAGAGGGAGATATTAAAGAACTGTCTCATTCCAATTTGGTTTATTTTGATTTTTACTCATTCTAATACTATTTTCTCTCTTAATCTCCGAAGACCTTTTCTATCCCTTCTTACTTACTTACTTGTTCTATCTGCAAGAATGTACACTATTGCAGATCAACATAAATATGGTCCTGTCATGAATATTCTCCATAGAAATATCACTAAATAAAAACCCTTTCTTTTAAAAACACAGGGACAATACTTTGTACATAATGTTTAAGTTGGAAATAGCTGTTCTCATTCCACACAGCTTTGTGAATTCCCTCATTTCCCACTCTGTAAAACCTTGATCCTGTGGCTCCAATCACTGGTTATTAGTGGATTAACATTACTTCACTTCGCTCCGGCTGCTAACCACATGTAACTGCGACGCAGGGTAGGGTTACTATGGTGAGAAAGACCTCTGTGAACTCGTGGTTAGGGTAATATTATACGAGCAGCTCAGGAGTGAAATGTGATTTCTGACGGAACCAATTCATTTTTACAGTCTAATAAGTCAACGTTAACACTTTACAACTTGACTGCTTTGCCTCATACACCCTAACCCTAACCCTTGTTACCATAAAACCTGATGTAATATTACTGTTTGGGCTGAAGCTGTGGACCAATAGGCAGATAGATGTATCCCTCAATGCAATGCCCATTATTTTGAAAGCCCAATAGTCCGAATTGGCCTTTTGGACCGTAGGCCATTTGTCTGACAGACGCAAAAAAGTGGCCATTGTTCCAAAAAATACTGAAATTATGTAAAAGGCATGACCTTCTCTTTTGTTAACCCTAACCCTAGTTTAACCCTATCTGTTCTTATGTAGAACTTAACCTAATTTTAAAGTGTGGACCGAAGTTTTGGACCAACAGGAAAGATGGATTCATCCCTCGACGCAATGCACATTATTTTTAAACCCAAATGGTCCGAATTGGTCCGAATTATTCTATTGGACTCCAGGCCATTTGTCCAAAAGCCTGTTGTCCCAAAAGAGTAGCTATGGTTCCAAGGGCTAATTTCTTAAAAACATACATATAAGATGAAAAAGGCAAGACTTTCTCTTTTCTTAACCCTAACCCTTGTTTGACCCCAACCCTAAAACCTAACCAATCACATACCTAACCAACCCAACCAATGAAGGCACCAAATACTAGCCAATCAGAGGTAAACTAGGGCGGGTGATCCGTATGCTGGTGGTAAGAATCAAAATGGAACGTCCTGTTTGTTGCAGACAGTTCGTACTTTCAGAGCAATGGGCCTTTGTTTTGGAAATAATGGTTTGTCAGACATATGGGCTTTCGGTCCAATGGGACTTCTTTTGGACTATTGGGGTTTCGGAAAAAAGTTCTTTAGGAACAACAGTTTATTTTGGACTATTGGGGTTTCAGAATAAAGTTCTTTAGGAATTACAGCTTCTTTTGGACTATTGGGGTTTCTGAATAAAGTTCTTTAGGAATTACAGCTTCTTTTGGACTATTGGGGTTTCAGAATAAAGTTCTTTAGGAACTACAGATTCTTTTGGACTATTGGGATTTCAGAATAAAGTTCTTTAGGAACTACAGATTATTTTTGGACTATTGGGGTTTCAGAATAAAGTTCTTTAGGAACTACAGCTTATTTTGGACTATTGGGATTTCAGAATAAAGTTCTTTAGGAACTACAGCTTCTTTTGGACTATTGGGGTTTCAGAATAAAGTTCTTTAGGAACAACAGCTTCTTTTGGACTATTGGGATTTCAGAATAAAGTTCTTTAGGAACTACAGCTTCTTTTGGACTATTGGGGTTTCAGAATAAAGTTCTTTAGGAACAACAGCTTCTTTTGGACTATTGGGGTTTCCGAATAAAGTTCTTCAGGAACAACAGCTTCTTTTGGACTATTGGGGTTTCAGAATAAAGTTCTTTAGGAACAACAGCTTCTTTTGGACTATTGGGGTTTTGGAATAAAGTTCTTTAGGAACCACATTCTGTCCCCATTCCTAGAGCCAATAAAAACCAACTCATGTCACGATTTGAAGTCAAACTTGTCCTTAATCTAACACGTCTCTTTCCTTTCCGTCTTATAGGGTCGATGCATCAACTTCACAAGAGTGAAAGATGAGGCCAAGGCTGCCCCACGCACCCCGATCCACAAACCCTCCGCCCCTCCACCTGATTACCACCCTGTTTCCTCCACGCCATCTCCCACTGTGGCCAGCCCTCCTTCCAGATCACCTCCAGTACCAGGACAGGTTCTCCCAGGACCCCCACCAGCCCGTACCCCTCCTGGACCTCCCTGTGCACCCCCATCACGCCCCCCACCCACTCTCCGACCCTGAATCACAAAGACAAACCTTTCCCACCCCCCATCTATGCACCCGCTTTGAAATCAGAGACTTACCGCTCTGTTGGCCAGTTCTTTCAGTTCTGAAGGTTCAGGTCGTCGCTGCCAAAGATACTCCTGCTATACGCCAAAGATCAGCAGTACTTTCTATCCCAGCCTTCTTTTATGGGAGAGTGTCAAGTCCAACTGTAATTTAGCAGTATTCGTCAAACATGCTACGACTTAGCGTGAACAACTTGGGAGAAGGAGAATGTATAAATACCTTTGTCATTGTTTTGTGCAAAAATAAGGCTGGATCCCCTTTACAATTTAGAAAAAAATCAGTTTGACTTGATGTTGTGTCCAACAAATAGGGCAAATGTGGGGATTCGGGAAAATATTTGACTTAATGTTGGGGTTTGTTAGATCACGGATGATTGTTGCTGGACAGCAAAGCATGTAGGGACAGGAAGTCCGAAGAAGAAGAAGAAGAATGCAATGGATGATGCAATGGATGAAATGTCTTTGTTGTCTTTATCAACTACTGAGGCCATTGTTGGAAGAGAAATCTGAGTAACGAGGGTAAACCTTGAGATGAATGGATTGGCTTATTCTCCTTTGCTGTGACGGTGAATCAGAGGTTTTGGGAAGTAGTTTCATAGAAATGTCTGTTTGATAATGGTGTTGAGTAACTAGGATAAAATCATATCTGCTTTTTTAATGAATATGTGGACATTGCAAATTGATTGCAGTGCCAAATTGATTCTTAAGCTTTTTGCGATGTTGTGTTTTCCCGAAAATGTTAAGAAATTCCCACCTTTTGATACAGAAATGTTACAGTTACGTGATTTTGTGTTCCAGTTTTTGTACCATTCAGCCAAAGGGAAGTGTACAGATGTTTTATTGAAGGGATGCTTTTACAATATGTGTTTGAGATGCATTGGAATGTTACATGGTTGATATCTTTGAGGCTTTGGATTTGGTCCTTTTCATTGAATTTAGAATACAGCAATATATATATTGTTGGTATCTGCGCACATAGACTGCTGGACAACTACAGTATGTATTCATTTTTGTTAGCATTGGAACATCGATATTGAACAACCAGAAATCAGGTCTCATCACATTTTTTATACATTATCTGGATACTGTACTTTGATACCAATAGGTGTGTTTTATGTTTTCAGTTCATCATCACCGGTCACATTGCAACTGCAGGGCAGTTCAAAGAGCATCTAATTTATTTTACTCCCCAGAGAAATAGAGGAGAGTACTTGAATATCGACAAGGTGTCCAACCAGCAAGACGGACACTGTGCACAGAATTTAGAAATGCAACAGCTAGCCAGTTAAAAGTCATTTAAGGCTTACCAGCGTTTCACAACCCCTCAGCTACACTGAGAACAAATTGAATGTGATTTCTCCAAAGTTAATTTGTTCATGTTTCTTTTGTAAAAGTGTGATTCTTGGTGTGTATTACGCACTCTTAGCTCGTTGCTAGCAGGTGAAAAGACGCCGCTAGCGTCCATGTTAGCGCTGGCTACATTGTTAATTGGGTGGGGGAATGGCACCAAAAAAATGAAAAAGATTGTGATTTGATTGTGTAAAAAAGGGGTTGAAAAATGCTGGTATTCCTTTAATATTCAGTGCATTCTGGAAGTTACTTCTTTTGTTCATTTTTTATACTTTTTTTTTTTATGTACTTCATTCAGTTATGTCATGTACCGTTGTGTTTCTACATGCATTCATTATCGCTCTAAGTGCCTTAAAATTGAGCTCAAAGAAAGGTGCATTTGCTTCATTAAAGTGTCCAACCATCCACATGAACGTTTTAAAATTAACTTAATTTGACTGATAAACCAATACAGCTCAGGTTAGTTAGAAGTTGCTATAAACAAATCAAATGGATTGTGATGCCTTGGAATGTTTGCCCTTATCCACCTGTTTTAAATGATGTCGAATGTCGAATAAAACCCATTTAATGGTCGATTTCAGTCGTTTTCTTTACTTTTACAATGCCTTAGACTGGGAAAATGGGTAAATCACATGTGCCCGAATTTGTTGGTTAAACTTAATGTATTAAACAACTCTATATGATAAGGTTATGGCATGACAAATTAACTTGAGGAAAGAGTGCATTTGTCCCCGAACTTAAGAAATGTACGAACTGTATGTCAACTTTAAAATAAATCTGATGTATAGATGGTGCCAAGTAGGGCCTGATAACGGCCATTTAATCAGCTGATAACATCCGAAGAGGGTGGACAAAAAAAACTGATATGGATAAAACAATCCCGGTTTGTAACTTCTACCACAGTTGACTTCATTTCCCAGAACCCTTTTAGCTTCAATAAAAAAAGGACACATTGGATTTTAAAGTTTGGATATAAACGTATTTTGATGTTGGAGTCAGCAGTTTTCTGAGTATGTGAACATGTCTGGTAGATATTCAACTTAATAATGCACTAAATTGCTGGATTAAGGTTTCAAGGAACAATGTTAAGAGGCTTAGTTTTTTACAATGTACTAATTCGGTTCACCTCAATAACACTCAACAAAGAATGTCAGTATAAACGCAGCATTGATGCAGGATCAGTGTTCGAAGGGGAGCTCAATGTCTTTCCTAATCAAGATGAGATACATGATGTTAATCAGTGTTTTTTTACACGTAGAAACAGCAGTGCTGAAGCCAATATGAAAGACGTATATGATTTTGTCTTGTTGATCGACATGACTATTTTAACGGTATGAATAAAGGTTGAATTCCAAGCTTCTACCTGTGTGTGATTTCTGAAATACAGGATTCAGTGTCTGCATGTGTAATTTCCCTTTTGCAGCTCCACCCCTGCAGGTTTGGACAGTAGATAACTGTACTATTCACAGTTAGCCCTGTATACTACCCACACACACACTTTTGGGCAAACACCATGAGTTACAAGGCTAGGATTTTGGCCGTCCTTCAGAAAACTGTAACACAAAACGTAATTGTCTTAAAGTCAGTGATCACATTTTGTTGGGATATCTATTACTTAACGATGTTTACCCTATTACACACAGTAATGTCTCCCACTAACCTGTTTATATAGAAGTGATACCAAGCCTGAAACAAGTATTTTGATTGCCTTAAATAGGCCTTTTTCATAGCAAACATTTAAATCACAGGTGTAATTAATAACATTAACAATGGGCTCTGTTTTATTTGTTTCCAATAACTCAGACAAGTAAGTCCCTGGACGAGGAACACCATGATTAATGTGATTAGTTACACCTGTATTTGACAGGTAACACTGGCTACTATGAGGAAGGTCTTTAAAGCAACTAGTAAATCTTAAATTGCTGGAAAGTATGTGATGGCAACAAAAGGCCTTTTTAAGCGATTTTTTGTGGTAAAACAAACTCAGATTGACGCACTGTAGCCTACAAGACACTAGCCCAGCACCAAACGACAAAGTTAGCTACTAGCAGGTGAACATAAAGGTCCTTACACACCAAGCCGATTTCGGCCGTCGATAGATGTCGATAGATGTCTGGCCATCGATGAGCGTCCTGTCGCCCTACTCAGATTGGTGTGTCCCGCCCCGTTGCGTCTTTTCGGCCGTGCCGACACCTTCCGCCGCCGATTCTAAAGGCCGTCGGCCAAAGAAATCACTCTGATTGGCTGTTCAGCTAAGCGAATCAGTGCATGAGAAGCGAAACGGAAGTGAGGGACCCAAACAAACTACTAAGAAGGCAAATCTGAGATTTCATTTAACTCCAGCTCTCGACACAGGTTCAGGAAAGCCCCATGAGCTTCTCGCTGTAGAGTGAAAATGGAACGCACACGCTATTTGTTGTTTGTTTATATCACGCAGTCTGTTCTTCTTCTCTCGGTGTATCACGTAGTCTGTCTTCCGGTTGTTGCCTCTTTTGAATGACGAATACACACTACCGCCGCCTGCTGGTAAGGAGAGTTATTGCCACTCACGCATGCGCAGTTCGTACGTGCTACTTGGCCGTCGGCTGAAGTCTTTGCGGTGTGTTCCAGTGCGACTGTTGGCCAAGACGCAGGAGACGTGAGGCGACACAACAGTCGGGTCCGTCGGGACGTGTTCTTTGGTGTCAGTTTGGTGTGTCTGGGCCTTTATAGATCACTTTGCATCTGTGGAACCATATATTGGCCTCAAGAGTAGGTATAGACCAAAACATGCTAAAAAAGTGTGAATATAAGACATTGGGTGCTCAGGTCCAAATCAATGCTAATGTTGCTATATATCAGCGTAAATAAGTAAATTGTTTTCTAAAAAGTTAACTTAAAAGGTGATAATATAAGAGGTGTTCACAACTTGTTTCTGCTGCTACCAAGTGGCTAAATAATATGTACATTGCAGTAATCCTAACCTGAAACGAGACACTTATCGTAATGACAAACCCCCGAGATACTCTATGACACCAAACTCTGTCTTTCGCTACTGTTTTGATTGATAGCAGCATGGTTTAACGGCCCGTCCACACAGCAGCGTTAAAAAAATCTTGGAGGTGGGCGTATCTGAAGCTTGGGGATTTTTTGCGAGCAAGGCACCAACAACCAATCACATGAATCTCCCGCCCCCGACATACGAAGCAAAAAAGCCCGAAGTAAACTGGATATAAACTCCCCAAACAGGTGAAAACCTACCACTGCCTCTGCCACCTCCCTCCATGCCTGGCTCCTCCGGTTTATATCCCGGTAGGTCTGGTCATAAAGCACCGGGTGATTGATTCCCTACCGCTAATTTCTCCTCCATTGTTTGGAATATGAGGAAATGACCTGCGGTATGTCTCTCCCAGCATACACGCCGTTTGATTGGCTAGCGCTTGAACTGTCAGATTTGCATACACGGGATTTGATTGGCTGACGCTTCCTTCCACCTCAGCTTCAAAAGTTGAACATTGCTCAAGTTTGAATCCTGAAAATCCTGAAAATCTCCGCTCTGCTTCCCACAATGCAGTTCGGCGAAAAGTGAGGCAAAGTGACGTCACCCCATTCAAAGTGAATGGGCAGAAGCGTTCCAAGATTTTTTAACGCTGCTGTGTGGACGGTCCGTAAGTGTATAAGATGAGATGATAAGAGGATCTTCCCAAATGAGGAAATGTTTGTGTTGCAGCAGCATGACAAACTAAACAAAACAAGGCATAAGTAGAAATTAAAGAGTAGAAATAAACAATACTAGAATTGAAACATCTCAAAATAGAATTAAAACAGCATGAAAAAGTAGAAAATACAGTAGACCATGAAGATAATGAATCTATAAAAGGGTATTTACAGTAACCAACAACTAGGTAAGTTGTGTAACCTTGAAAATACTTGTGGTTTGGTTCAGAAGATTGTCCCTCATCCTTTAATCCTGCTGAGGCTTCTTTCCTGGTGAATGGACGGGTGCTTTCCAGTGAGTTTCCCAGAATGCTTCTTTCCTTTGCTGTGGCTACTTTCAGGTCACTAGCTTAATGCTAACCTTTTAACCTCTGCCTCCCAAACTGTCAAGAAACAGCCAAAAGGTAGGAGAAAATGGCACTTGTTTGACCTTAATTCAAGTGTATCTGCCCATCCTCTACAGCTCCACGGATGCCATACAATCAAGGTGTCATGTTAATATGTGTATAAAAACACATCTGCTCTGAAGGAGTTTCAAAATCTGTTTTTCTGGTTGGTAATGAATTTAATACAGCACGAATAGCCATGAGCATTTCCAGCTGGATAATTACTGTGGAGTCTGCGTTTTTACCCTCTGAATGCGGAGGAGAGAAGGATGTGGGATGGTGAAAGGGGCTGGATCAGAAAAACTGAGAAACAAGAAGGGAGAAACTGAGCAAGACGGGCAGTCGGTCCTCCAAACAGAGCTGAACAAAGCAAAACGCAAGAATAACAACAGCTGGGACTCTCAGTCCGATCTCAAGTCTGTCCAGCTCTCAGAGTAGTTTTAAATTCATTGAGCGGGGTTTCTCCATTAGTTAGTCCCACTGTGTTGTGTTCCTAACGTTGCTGCAATGTTTCCAAGATGGTGGAAGTCAACTTTATTGTCAATCTTTCAGTTTGTGTGTACAGACAGAGAGATCGAAATACAGTTTCCCCCAATCCAGAATACAAAAATACAAATATATATAAAAAAATATGTATCCTATATAGTATATACGCAATCAACAGACACATGCAGGGGCGGACTGGCCATCGGGACGTTCGGGACGAATCCCGATGGGCCGGTACTGAAGTGGCCGCTCGGATAAGTCACTAGCACCCCCCCCCCCCCCCGTTAGTAATTTACCGAGGTGGGCCGGCGGTACCGAAGTGGGCCGGTCGAGAGTCCCGGGCTGATTTGTAGTCCCAGTCCGCCCCTGGACACATGTATACATATGCACACATTAAGACATACATAAAAGCACAACAATCAATATATACAAATTAACAGTCCCTTCAATATCTTTGGGAAATGTAAATTAGTGCAAGATTGTCCATAGCAGCGTAGAAAGTGTATAGAGTGGACATGTCCCTGGTTCCCTCAACAAAAAGCAAAGTGATTTTCCATTGGATTTTGGAATATTGAAGAAAATAAGCTTGGTGGCAAACCCAAGTTTATTATACTTACACATTTTGTTCAGCAGGATAATCTCCAGATATTAACACCACTCGTGATTTTTGAAGAGTAAATGTGATGGCCAGAAGTAAATAGCTAAGTTAAGGCTGTGAACATCACCGTCACATAACTTCACATCAACACAACTAAGCTAAAGTCGTACTTGTGTTCGGTTTGATTACCTATAGTTGTTTTATTTAGCAACTTGTTAGCGACAGCCTTTTTAAGACTTGTCAAATCCTCAAGAAAACAACAACTTCCATGTGAGGGAACCAAAAGTGCTAAAGTTATTAACGGGTTTTATGACTCATTCCAGCAGCCCTCATTCAGGGGAAATGCTCATGTAAAAATTAGTCAGAGGTTTAATGTTAATCTTAATTAATACAAAACAGTATAGTGA